AACGAATTGACAACCAGTTATACCTAGGCAGATAAAAATGCTCATGTAAGTGTCACTGTCTATTGGTCATTCAAGTGATGGTATCCCAGAGAGGTAGGTGACTAGGTAGAGAAAATGTTTAGCAGGCAGACACGCAGTCATAAAGGTAGGAAGATGAGAGGGTACACAGGTGAGGACGTAGATAACCTTTCGGTATTTGAATTGTCCCCCTTGCAATGTGGCATTGTTCTAGTAGGGAGGTTTTGAACACCACACCCATATAAGTGTGGAGCCTGTGGGAAAATGCCTCCAATGATACGTAGGCATCACCCACCATCAAGTTATGCCCACCCAGCAAAACCGGAGTGCTAGAGTACAATATGGTTGGTGAAGAAGTGAGAATCATTGGCACTTGGGTCAGCTGATGTCACTATTACCTGAGGTGCAACATTCACTAGAACGTCGTGGTGAACTACTTGTTTTGTTAAAAGAAATATAACTAGAGAGTGTTTATTTGCAAGTGAGATGCAGATGCTCACTATTTGTGCTCCCATCTTGAGTTGACGCTGCTGCCCCCACCTGTAGTCGCATTTGCCACATTAGCCTCATTAGTGACCCCAAGCACTCCAACTTGAAGCAAACTTCTTCCACTAACACATAATCAGAGACAGGCCCGATTCATGGTTACTGGCATGCATAACGTTTAGTGGCCAATGTACTGGTTGGTAATAAAACTGGTATTTTGTCAACCGTTTCATTTAGGACCGAAATATCTCTGAAGCAGAGTGTGTTTAGGGGTCGGTGGGTGTAGTGTGCGGTGGTGGGAGTAGTGAGGCGAGGAGACTGCCTTGGTGGGCATGCAGGAGACTCGAATAATGGTGCTTGCCTCATGGAACTTGAGTGTCGTGTCCTCACTGGTAAGTATCAAGCGGTGTTGTAGAGCTCTCCTTCACGCACAACTGATGCCCAGCACTACTCGTGTGCTTGACTACACAAACGCTCAATGCACTACTGTAGGTCCAACTCGAATTGTCAGGTTGACTTGATTCTCTCAAAAAAGACATTTTCTCATCTGGAGCACAGTATTGTGCATCTGCTTCAGGTATATTTTATCACACACTATATTTTATTCTACCAGTGGTGGCCTACATCCATTTGTTTTTATTTTAATCCTTTTCAAACTTATTATGAGCAAACAATTTAGGTCACTTCCTTTCCCATGTAGTATTCTCTTTAGCTAGTTTCATTGCAAATGCTAAAGGTCATTTAAATTAATTCGCAATTGGTCAACCTCTCTTGGTCCTCGTATTCGAACTCCTCCTTTAAGGTAATCTTAATTCATGCAAATTACTTTCAAGGGTCTCTTCGATATTCCTTGTGTAAAGTGCTCCTGCTCTACAGTTTATACATCCTAGGTCAATCATTGTTCATTACTTTAACGTTAGTGTTTGCCAACTAATTCAGTAGATCTTACATTAATTTTAGCTAAATTTGACTCAACTACTTTGTACCAGTGTCCTGCTGCATTAAATTCTATTTGCGCTCGTTTTGCACCATTTCAGGATTGCGTTAATTAGCTTATCATAAAAGCAACTAAAATTTGCATTTTAATAACCCATTGCGTCACTAATTTCTTTAGATGATGAAATCCCTAAGATTAAACTGTTATGAGGGGAGGCGAGACTGCATTAATTACATATATGTCAGTACAGATTGGCTCCATTTCGTACTCATCTTTCACCCTAGAAATGGGCGTTGAACGGTGACGAAATTGCCAGATCGGATGAATTTGGCAAGAGGGAGGAGACATCGTGATGTTAGGAGTCTGTTGAAATTTTTCTGTGACATACTGTTATGTGACAAGTATAATTGGTGCCAAATAGCAATAAGTTTTTCAACTTTGCTGGGAACTGTTTCGGAACTTACCATAATCTTCTAGGTGCACTTGTCATCGGTGCACACATTCAACTTCCTCACATTTGCAACCGTCTCCACATCAATGCATTTGCTTGGCCACACTACTTTCTATCGAAGCGTTCAAAGTGGTGTCAGTTACACTTGAAAGGGCTAGTGGTGATGGCTCAGGGGAGCACTGTTTTGTACTAATTTATCCCCCGCTGTCAAAATGTCAAATATAGACAGCTTGCTCCCACCCACCAAGAAAAACGGGATTGATGTCACAGTGTTAGGCATTTTGATGGCACGGCGATTTTGTCGATCATCCAGACTCCTCATTTAGTAGTTTGTGCATGCCGAGGAGCTGCTCAAATTGGTGTTATCGAGATACCTTTTTGTTCGAAATAAGTGGCGTTGACCTGGAGAAGTGCAAGTAATCGCATTTGTTTTATCAAATCGTGGATATTAGCCGAATTTATTCGTGCAGAGACTAAAAATTTATGTGTTGTCATTTCTCTCGAATTTGTTGAGGTTCCCTCCTACTTCTAGTCAGAAACTGCTTTTTCCATTGGCAACAGATTCTTCCTCCAGCTCCTGCAGATGGATCGCCCCTTCGAAGTCACCAAATCCCACTTACTTCGCAGTAGCGATTTACACCACTGTGAATGGCTTCTCTATCCCAGTTACTATATGCGTTTTTACAACAACAAATCGACGGCACGAGGATGAACAAGCACGTTGTTTCGCTTCGTTAACATTCGAAATTCGTCTATCTTTCTTCTGTTGTTTGGGAGGACAGTGGGTTGTAACCTCTTCTGTGTTTCAGGAAAAATCGTCCTCTTAGAGCAACCATTTGGTGGCAATTTGTTAGACTGACACGTTAAATATTTATGCACGAATGTAAACTACTTGACGGTGGATATAAGGCTTTTTACAAAAAGAGTTAGGATGGTTTTCGCTAGTGCCCATTGTGTATAAAATACAACCAATTTAGAGGCAGACATTTTATGGTCGAGAATGTAAGCGAGGTATGTTCTGCCATGCAGAAATGTTCTGCCAAATGCGCGATCCTGTAACAATAGAGTGATTGGCATAGTTGCCCTCCAACTATATAGTCACATCACCATTATCCCATTAAAGCAACTTGTATTTCATAGAGAGAGGAATGGCCAATCCACTGCTTCCGGTGTGACAACCGAATGCCATTCACAGAAGAATTTGAAGACTTTCATAAGTGCAAAATAGTGAAATGCTTTCGTTGTTTGCCAAGCTCTTGGTTTTGGTAGCGGGCCACTGGGACCTCCGCCACCATACCTGCATTAGGTGGTCTAACCTACGGGCCAAGTAAGTAACGCCCACACCCTTCTCTCCGTCGACGGCATATATTCTACCCCAGCGTTATTTATTCTCTTGCCTTCCAGGAAGACTACGGTTGCTATATTGGGGCATTTCCACTTGGAGGAAATTTGACTGTAATTGAACTACAAGTTCGTGACAAACACAATCGCGAAATGTTCGCACGCAAGAATTAGGGTCAGGAGTGGATTTGAGCCAGACTGCGGTGATATTCTTCCACATTTCCACAATTCCCACCTTCCTAAGAGGGTCACATTTGATGCCCAATAGGAAACATTGCCAGTCAACTGCTCAAAAGAGAAACGTTTTCTAATACAGCAATATACGAGGCAATTTGTATGCGCCCCACGATTGTGGTAACTCCTCGTCTCGAAATCGCAATGGCAAGAAAGTGAAGGCTGAGTTGGTTGGGCTATGAGCATGTCAACTCCCTCCGACAAAAGCTCATTAATTATTTTAGCAATTATTTAAAAGCGCTATTTTGCAGTCCAGCGGGAAAGTTGAAAGAGCGTTTGGAGTGTTGTGTTTTGCCGCAAAATGGCCGTCTGAAAATGAGGGATTTAGGGGTCTGAAGACGAGATCAGAAAGTAGATGGTAGAGTTAAAGGAGTGTTATGCCATCCATCAACTTATTTTTATTTGATTAACCAGCACGGCAAACCTTGGTTGAGCTTTAATGCAGATAGGGCTTGAGCCCTCCGGACTACTTCATACTTTGCCACTTAATTTCCCTAAATATCATGTGCTTATCAGCTCATTCCATGACCAAAAAGTGCTCCCCAAACCTACTGCAATGTGACAGCAAAAGTTGTCGACAAAATTGACATCAACAGAAGGACTAGTAGCATTTCTTCACCTGAAATTTCACCAGTATTTGTTTTATTAGTTAATGTGTGCTTCATCGTGCAATAAAATTCATTGTCATTTACTGTTCCGCACTCATTTTCCCTAATTTCTGTGTTATCAGGAGTAGGGGGAGGGGGGTGCATTTTTAACCTTAGCAAACGAAGGCGGCACTGCGATTGCTTTAACCAAATCTTAGCCGGCAGGATCTTTCCACTATTTCAGAATTTTGACAGACCGAAATCATAGTTTCATGCAGAAATGAATAAAGCTCTCTGTTTTCGAAGAGGTTTTGTTTAGTTACTATTCTTTTGCTGATGCCTTTCGAGTAAAAAGGACTTCGTTCCTAGATTTCACTCTTTTCGACAAAACCATTCATGTGCCTGTAAAATTTCTATAAGTCTTGAGGACCTTACAGAGTTGCTTGGCAATTCAAAAGCTTGCTTACATTCACTGCCGTCCCTAATACCAGGAAGCAAGCTAGGCATGAAATGATGAGCGGAGGTAGTGGTAATTGGTGCCATCAGCATGGAAGTGCACACACTCCCTCTTCCTCCACTCTACGAATGATGCTGATACCAGCATACTAGGTCTACCTTGCGTTTACAATTCTCTCTTTAATCCTGCCTGAGTTTTGAATACTTGTGCGTAAAATGACTAGTGGTCATAACAAAAACCAAGTACCATATGGAGTTGAGACAAACACTTTAAGGAGGAAGGTCATTTGACTCCACCTTTGTAGTGCTGTGTGTGCTCGGTTAGCTCTTCGTTCATTTTAGAGTTCATGTGATGCTCCTACATTGTCCCTCCTCGAGGTTGCATTACCCCCAGACAATCCCAGTCGTGCTTCACCCTTTCGTTCATCTCTACGCCAACTTTGCGTATACTGCCTTGGTATTATTCCTTCTTTCATCATCAGGATGTGTCAGGCCTCGACATTTTTCTCATAAGCATGAAGCCAGGGGAATAGAGGAAAGCAGTTACTTAGGGAGATTGTGGATGTTTAATGCAATAATGTAAAAAGGTCAATGTGATCCATAAGATGAATAAAAATTTAAGACCTGGGGACTTGGGAATCCGCAGAAATGTGAAAGAAAATTTACGGTTCTCTTCAATTGATGCCTAATTCTAACCAGGTAGAGAACAGTGAATTACAAGGCGAAATGCTTCAAGACCCCACTTATGAGGTTTGACTGATTGTTTCTGCAAATCATAACCTGCAACACCACTCTTTGATACCTAGTCAGATCATTCAGGTGCCCTCTAAATCCCCCTTTTAGATAGTTTCTGGTCAATCATTATAAATGAGAAAACTGATTGAAAATGCAATCCATGCGAGCTCAATGGCGTCGATGATAAAAAATATTGTACAGTAAGGACTGGTTGATATTTTGGAAAAAACGCGGCTGTCTCGTAGTGCCTGGCGGTGTTGGAGGAGAGTTGCTGATTGGTAAGAAGGAGAGCTAAATTAGTTCACGAGACGCAAATTTCTGTTAAGCAAAAAAGGGCAGCACGGAAATGTTCAGGGCATTTAAAATTAAATCTACAAAGTTAGTAAGGCGTCCTGGATTTATTAGCTACATCAGCTGAATTCTGCGAAGGCTGTGCACATGGGCTTTAGCTACCCAGAGGCATTATCTGTTACATCAGGATTCCATTGGGGAGAGCGGAGAGTAGGCGACTAGTGAGGGGAAGTGGTGATTTCTGCTGCAGATGTGGATCAAGGCCATTCTGCTGCCTTGTAACTTCGAGATCCAACATTTTCACCTACCAACTAACAAACCATTTAACCTTTTCATGTCCTTTTGTAATTACCGAAATGGGAGGTATGCAATGATCCGTTGATTTCACCCTACAATTCATTGGAATATATAGCTGCTCTCTATTCATTTGACCTGACATCTTTTCCAAAAAATTTCACATACGTGTTGAAGGTTCAGGTAACATTTTGGGGACATGGAATAGGTTGGCAAGTGCATGGCAGTCTAGAGAAAGTGGGTGGTAATGTACGAAGTAATCTTAAAGGGCTCAAGTCCTGCCCACTTTTGAGGTCACACACAGATTTTCCATTACAGTATATCAAGTAAATATAAGTTGTTGTAGAGCATAACTCTACTGTAACCCCGTCAACCATTTTCACATCTTATCTTCAGATATTTGAGTCTCTTGTTTAGAGTCGGAAGAGATCACGGTTAATTTATTGCAACGCACAATCCTCCAAACTTACATGGGAAGCTTAAACCACGCCTTTTTGCCTGCAGTATAAATTACTTAGTTGAACTGTGAATTGGCAATTTGATGTGCCCATTACTCAACCAGCTGAGCCATCAGTTGCTTGCTATTGCGATTTCGAGGCGAGAAGGTCGTGGGAGCTACTGGCATGGCCTGAGGGCCAGACCTCCAGGTAAAGGAGGAATGGTGGATGCTCGAGTTGTCCGTTACTGAGACGAAGAGTCAAACAAACAACGAAAGCATTGCACTAA